AGCACGTCCATAAGGAGCTGGGTAAGCTTCGGGGACAATGCAGGATTTTTAGGATCTGTTTGCCTTGGGATCACACTGAGTTCACCTCTCCCTGTTCCCAGGTCTCAGGAACAGCCACGGAGCCAAGGCACATCCCGAGGTGGACGGGCGAGGGCCGGCAGGCCGGGGGGACAGCCGGGYGGCGCAGCCCCTGCTGAACGGGGGGCAGGTGCCCGGCGATGCCGTCCGCATCCCCACCATCGACGGAAAGCTGCAGCCTCCGCCCGTGGCCGGCGGTGCCCGCGTCTGCCTGGGCGTGCTGGAGGAGGCGGACGCGGCGCTGCAGCAGCACATCAACAGGGTTTACTACGACGACACCTTGCTGGGGAGGAAGACGGCGGCCAAGCTGTCGCCCATGGTGCGGCCCAAGTCGCTGGCCGTGCCGGGCATGACCACCTACGCCAACCCCCCGGAGACGCTGGCGGGCCCCGTCATGTCCATCTCGCCCCAGGGCACCTACATGTCCAAGATCATCCCCAACGCCATCCTGCCGCCCATGGTGGACGTGGTGGCCCTGACGAGGAGCAGCGTGCGGACGCTGAGCCGCTGCAGCCTCGTCTCGTCCAGCCCGGCCTCGGTGCGCTCCCTGTCCCGCTTCTCGGAGCGCGGCGCCCGCAGCCGCGAGCCCTCCTCGTCCAGCGACAACTGGAGCCACTCGCAGTCCACGGAGACCATCGTGTCCAACAGCTCCACCATCTCCTCCCAGGGCGGCAGYGAGCACCGGCAGCCCGAAGCGGGGCCGCGCAGCGAGGTGGATGTGACGGCTCGCTCCGACACCGACCAGATCAGCATCTACAGCTCCGCCAGCTTTGCCAGCTCCCGCTCCAAGCCCGCCACCGGGCTCGCTCCCACCGCTGCCGGGCTCCCGGGCCGCGCATCCCCTGCCTACAGCACGAGCAGCCAGGCCGAGGGCTCGGACACGGCCAGCCTGGCCAGCGAGCGCTCGTCCACCCGCAGTGTGTCCCTCAGGAAGATGAAGAAGCCCCCGGCTCCTCCCCGCAGGACCTACTCGCTGCACCAGAAGGCCGACGGGGAGCCCAAGGTGCTGGGGCTGCCCCCCAGGCCGGAGCGGCGGCCCCAGAGGGACAGCGGCGCGCCCTGGTCACCGCGGCCGGAGCCTTTCAGCCCCACGGTGGAGGACGAGGTGTTCTCGCCGCCGCTGAGCGAGACCAGCAGCCTGCGCTCCGAGAGCTTGGCCGGCACCGGCTCCCCCGAGGCCTCGCGGGGCCGCCCCGGGGTCACCGTGGTGCTGAGGGAGCCCCAAGCTCAGCCTAAGTGGAGCTGCCCCGACGGCTCTGACCGCACCATGTCCCCTTCCAGCGGCTACTCCAGCCAGAGCGGGACACCCACACTGCCCACCAAAGGCTTGGGACCCCCGGCCGTGTCCCCGGGCAAAAATCAGCCCCAGAAGCCGGAGCGGGTCTGCTCCCTGCAGTCTCCGGCGCTCTCCGTGTCCTCCTCCCTCACCTCCATCTCCTCCTCAGCCTCAGACCCGACCCCACCCGAGGCGCTGAGCGGGCGCTCGGACCGGTTCATCATCCCCCCGCACCCCAAGGTTCCCGCTCCCTTCTCCCCGCCACCCACCAAGCCCCAGCAGCCCCCGGCCCCCGCCGGACCCCCTCAGCCCTCGCAGACCCTCCCGGCGCCCAACACTGCCGGCCAGGAGCCCTCGGCCAAGCCCAGCGGCAAATCCCCGCCGCCCTCACCGCCGCCCGCCTACCAGCCGCCTCCCCCGCCGGCCAAGAAGGCTGAGGGGAGCCCTCAGAGCGCCGCCGAGCCCCCCGCCGACACCGCCTGGCCCCCGCCGCCGCCGCCCGCTCCCGAGGAGCACGACCTGTCCATGGCAGACTTCCCTCCTCCGGATGAATCCGATCTCTCCGGCCTGCCCGACGCCACCCCGGCCCCGGCGGACGGGCAGGCGGCCACGCCGAGCTCGGGGGCTGCATCTTCATCTTCATCATCCTCAGCCGCCGTTTCTCCGCAGCAAGACCCACCCGCCGGAGCTGCCCCCGTGGTGCCTCCACCGCCACCACCGCCCCTCCCGCCGCCCTCAGCGCCGGCCCTGCCACCCCAAATCAGCCTTAAGAAGGCGGCCAACGGCCCCCGGGCGGAGGCCAAGAAGGAGCCGGTGTCTCGGAGCAAGAGCGGCCCCGCGGCTAAGGAGGACGCCAGCCTGCCCATCGTCACCCCGTCGCTGCTGCAGATGGTGCGGCTGCGCTCCGTCAGCGTGGAGCCGGCGGCCGGAGGAGCGGCCGGAGCCGGGGCCGGTCCCGAGGAGCGGCCGGTCCCGCAGAAACCCGTCCGCCGCTCGCTGTCCACGCGGCAGCCGCCTCCTGCCAAAGACGCGGTGCCTTCCAACCAGCTCCACCAGGCCGTGCACCTCAAAGCCGCCGCCTTGGCCTCCGCCGAGCCCGCCGAGAAGATATCGGGYGGCCGAGCAGCCCAGGCCGGCCCCGAGGGGCTCCCCGCCGATGGGCAGCTGTCCCCCAGGAACAAATCGCCGGCCTCCACCGCCAGCTTCATCTTCGCCAAGAGCTCCAGGAAGCTGGTGATCGAGACGGCCTCGTCCCCCGAGGCTCAGGCTGATCTGAAGAGGAACTTGGTGGCCGAGCTGATGAATTTATCGGGGCAGCGCTCTGCGGTCCCGGCTGCCGCCGCCACGCAGGGTCCCGGGAAGGCGCAAACCCAACGAAAACCCGGCAAGATTCCCCCACCGGTGGCCAAGAAGCCTTCGCTCGGCCCGGGGCCGGCTCCTTCCCCGAAATCACCGGGGGTGGAAGCGTTGGGCTCCCCGGTGCCGGATGGGAACGCCAAGGTGGAGGAGAGCAGGACTAAGAGCGAACCGGCGGGGATGGAGGGCAGGAACGGCACGGAGCCGCCGGCTCAGAGCCTCCCTGCGCAAGGTACGTGGGGTGGGAGGTGTGGGGTGGAGGCTCAGCCACCCCAAGGTGCTCGGGATCCCGAGCTATGCATTCCCGAGTGATAAATTCCCAAAGCTACAGCTCCTGGGCTGGGGTGGCACCGGGGACAGAGCCTGGCAGGGTTTGGGATCCTGAGTGATAAATTCCCAAAGCTACAGCTCCTGGGCTGTTTGGGGGCTGGGGTGGCACCGGGGACAGAGCCTGGCAGGGCTCAGGATCTCAACTATGCATTCCCAAGTGCTAAATTCCCAAAGCTACAGCTCCTGGGCTGTTTTGGGGCTGGGGTGGCAGCAGGGACAGAGGCTGGCAGGGTTCGGTATCCCGAGTGATAAATTCCCAAAGCTACAGCTCCTGGGCTGTTTTAGGGCTGGGATGGCAGCAGGGACAGAGCCTGGCAGGGTTCGGTATCCCGAGTGATAAATTCCCAAAGCTACAGCTCCTGAGCTGTTTTGGGGCTGTTTTGGGGTTGGGGTGGTAGCAGGGACAGAGCCTGGCAGGGTTCAGGATCCCGAGTGATAAATTCCCAAAGCTACAGCTGTTTTGGGGTGTTTGGGGCTGGAATGGCACCGGGACAGCAGGGACAGAGCCTGGGAGGGTTCGGAATCCTGAGCTATGCATTCCTGAGTGATCAATTCTCAAAGCTACAGCTCCTGGGCTGTTTTGGGGCTGGGGTGGTAGCAGGGACAGAGCCTGGCAGCGTTTGGGATCCCGAGTGATAAATTCCCAAAGCTACAGCTCCTGGGCTGTTTTGGGGCTGTTTTGGGGTTGGGGTGGCAGCAGGGACAGAGCCTGGCAGGGCTGTGGGGAGCTGGGATTTGGGGTGGCTGATGGGCTCTTCCCTCCTGCCTTGCAGATGGACGGGGAGACACGGCCTGAAGGACCACGCTGCAGGACTGGAGCCCCCACGGACAGGAATCCAAATCTCTCAGGGACCTGGGCAGGTCAACGGACGAGTGTGGAACTGGCAACTAACTTAATACAGGAAGCAAACAGCCTTAGCCTCCACGGCCTTGATGATATTTATGCAAAAATGGTGTTGGTTTCACTTTCCTAAGTACTACAGCTTTATTTTGCTTTTTTTTTTTTTTTTTTAAACTGGACTCGAGGCCCGTGCTGGAGCCAGCACCTCCTCCCTGCCGAGCTGATGCTTGGTCTGGGCGGGTGCAGCCGAGCAGCCACGCCCAGAGGAGTTTGGGGGCTGAAGACACCGGAGCTGGGGCTGAAAATGCCAGAATTTGGGCTGAGAACACCAGAATTTGGGCCAAAACACCGGGACTGGAGCCACAGCTCCCGGCCAGACGGGCCCASGAGGAATGGAAGCACTTTGGACACGGGAATGAGAAAGTTTTGGCCATGACAGCGCTTGGGGGGATGCAAAGAGGAGCAGGAGGGGATGGAGGTGCTGGTTGGGAGGGAGCAMAGCTTTGGCTCTTGATGGAAAGGCAAAAGGGGCTCGTGGCCAGCACCRGCTCCGGCCACTCGCCACTGCCTGGCTGCCCCTCGAAGCTGGCCCTGGGCTCTGGGATAGAGCCTCGATTCTGTTTCTGTAAACTCGGGTCACATTTTGATTTCTTGGATTGTAAAAAGAAAAAAAAAACAACAAAAAAAACCCAATGAAACAAAAACCAAATGAAACAACAAACCCAACCGAACCAAACCAAACTGAACCAAACCAAAAGCAACCGACCCTCTGCCGCCGAGTAGCTGCTCAGAGCTCTGTACCTGGCTGGTAAAAATGATGACCGAAGCTTGCTGCCTCCTGTTYTTCCTGGTTTGGGGTTGCAGGTGCCTTCTGGGCGGTGCTGAGCTCCAGGAATGTCCCCTGGGTTGGGGACAGTAAAATTTYGGAGGTGCCAGCTCCCCTGGACAGATGGGCACGGCCACACACGCTCAGCTCCATATTTTATTGGGTTGATGACAGACAGATGGTTCCCGAGTCAGTGTTTAAGGCCCACACCCCCCACGGGCTCGGGACAGACCCACGGGTGCTGCCTGGGCTCCTGGCCAAAGAGCAGCTCCAGTGGCCACAGCCCCGGTTGGGTTGGAGCGTGGCCGGGGCGTGCTGGGCTGTCCCCAGCTGTCCCCAGCTCTGCTAGCAGCAACACGAGATTTGAAAAGCAGCTTTTCCCTTCAGCCCTGCCCATCCCAGCGGGCACAGAGTCCAGTCCATGGCACAACTGATGGCCCCAGCGCAGAGCCCAAGGCTATGGGGACGAATGGTGGCACCTCCAGTCCCCAGCGCTGGCCCAGGGGGATGGTGGAGGCAGCTCCCMGGGGAGAGGCTGCAAATTCAGTCCCAGAGCCCCCAGGGCCGAGCACTGGTGGGGAGATGAGCAGGAGGAGCCTGGCRGAGGTGCAGGAGCCTGGCAGAGGCACCAGCAGAGGCCTGGCACTGGTTTTAGCTGATGCTGCCACCCTTGAGGCTTTTACAGGACACCGTGCCCAGCTTGGTCAGGAAATTCCTCTSCTTCCACTGCGCCACGCAATCCTCGGAGATGTGGAAATCAGCCTGGGGGGCAGAGCGGGGAGGGATGGTCAGTCCCTGGGGAGGGTCAGCCCCTGGGCAGGGTCAGCACCTCCACCCCTATTTGGGGTCACCCTGATGTGGAAGGCAAGGTCAGTCCCTAGGGATGGTCAGCTCCTCCACCCCTGTTTGGGGTCCCCCTGAGGTGGGGAGGGAGGATCAGCCCCCGGGGAGGGTCAGCCCCTGGGGAGGGTCAGCGCCTCCACCCCTGTTTGGGGTCCCCCTGAGGTGAAAGGCAGAATCAGCCCCTGGGGAGGATCAGCCCCTGGGGAGTGTCTGCATCTCCACCCTGTTTGGGGTCACCCTGATGTGGAAGGCAGGGTCAGCCCCTAGGGAGAGTCAGCCCCTGGGGAGTGTCTGCCTCTCCACCCCTATTTGGGGTGACCCTGAGGTGGGGAGGGAGGGTCAGCCCCTCCATCCTGTTTGTGGTCACCCCGAGGTGGGGACAGGATGGCCCTGCTGGAACTCCAGGCGCTCCCAGCACTCACCTGCAGCTTCTCAAACACTTTTTTCTTGGGTTTGAGCTCCTCGTCAGGCTCGCCGCCCTCGTAGCCCTCCACGTAGACGTGCTCCCCTGCGCAGCACCCGGCTGGAGGGTCCAGGGGCTCCACTTGCCGGGGCTCCCCCACGCTAAGAAGGGGTGTGGAAGAACCAGAGTCACCCCAGGGCGCTGCCCAGCTGCCCCTCAGCACCCTGGGGTGCCCTCCACCCCTCACCTGGATGCACACAGCACCATGCCCTGCGACTCCACCCCTCTCATCTTCTGGGGTTTGAGGTTGCAGAGCAGCACCACCAGCCTGTCCTGCAGCTGCTCCTTGGGCACAAAGTGCACCAGGCCGCTGACCACGGTGCGGGGCTCGGCCTCGCCCACATCAATCTTCTCCACGTACAGGCTGTCGGCATCCGGGTGCTGCCAGGGGGAGTGAGGATGGCATGGAGTGGCATGGAAGGTGACAGTGACATTCCCCCCCTCAGGCACAGCCCAAATTGCCACAGGGGAGGTCACTCCGTGCTGCCCGTCGTGCCCGTACCTTTTCCACGCTGATCACTTTGCCCACACGGATGTCCAGCCGGGATGGCACCACCTCTTCGGGCTCCGAGTTCTTGGTGCCTTTCTCTCCAGGCTCTGCAGGGAACAGGGAATGGTCACAGAACTCAGCAGGAACCCAGGGAGTGGCCAACCCCAAATGCAGGCCTTGGAGGGAATTCCCTAAAGGGAATTCCATGCTCATCCCAATCCCATARAGCACAGTCCCTCCTGTGCCCTTTTCAAGCACAGTGGCTTTCCTCACCTTCCCCAATGCTCTCCAGAGCTCGTTTTGAGTCTGGAGCTTCAAAACTTTTCTCTGACCTCAGCTCCTGGAGTGACTCTGTTCCACCCAGCCCTTTTTCCTGAGCTCCCAAGGCTTCCCTGAGCTCCCAAGGCTTCCCTGAGCTCCCAAGGATTCCCTGAGCTCCCAAGGCTTCCCTGAGCTCCCAAGGCTTCCCTGAGCTCCCAAGGCTTCCCTGAGCTTCCCAAGGCTTGGCTTCCCTGAGCTCCCAAGGCTTCCCTGAGCTCCCAAGGCTTCCCTGAGCTCCCAAGGATTCCCTGACCTCCCAAGGCTTCCCTGAGCTTCCCAAGATTTCACTTCCCTGAGCTTCCCAAGATTTCACTTCCCTGAGCTTCCCAAGATTTCACTTCCCCAAGCTCCCAAGGCTTCCCCAAGCTCCCAGTTCCTCCTTACTGCCTTTGGACGGGGTGGGATATGCAGCACTGCTCAGCTTCTTCAGCTCAGGGCAGTTGAATTTCTCTCTGATGGGGTCAAGGAGTTTGTTCAGGGCCACTTCCACCGAGTTTTTCAAGTCTCCAGGATGCACAATCTGTAGCAGGACAAAAAGGTTTCTGTCTGAGGTCAAGGGTGGGAACTGGAGCCCAAACAGGGTGGGAAGATGAATCCAAAATTCTTGACCTGACTCCCCTTGGACATCAGAATTTTTTGGACACTTCTGCTTCCAGCCTGAGAWCAGCTGGGAATGGTTTAAGTGCTGCTCTGCTCCAGGATGTGGCTGATGTGGTGCTGTCCTGACCCCACACCCTTCCCTCATCCTCCCACCTCCGGGCTCTCCGTGCTGGGAGCACCCCACACTACCAGGCCACACTCCACACCTCATCCCAGTGCAGATTTCCATCTCCCAGTGTGGATTTCCATCTCCCAGTAATCCCAAATTGCTCCCAGGAACCTCAGGCAGCAGGCTCAGCCCCTCCCAGCACTCACCTGCTCAGCAAAATCCTTCTCCAGGGCCTCGTAGGCCGTGTAGGTTTTGTTTCCTCCCCATTTTTCCTCTCGCAGGACCACAAACTCTGCAGCACAGAGGTTTTTAAAGCTCAGATTAACTCCAAGCYCAGCTAAAAGTGAGGCCCAGCTCACTCTGCCCAAGAGCAGGACTAGGGAGGTGGCACTCAGTGTTCCTGTCCCCTCCTCTTGTCCCCACCCCAGCCCCTCACCTGATTTGAGGGGAAAAAGGACGTGTTTGATGAAGGACAGCACCCCATTGTTCTCCACGTTCCCTGGCTCACAGAAAGCCTTCTTCAGCTTCTTCTTCACGTCCTCTTTGCGGTCCAGAAGATCAATCTTGGAGTCCTGCAGCAAGAGACTCCCTCAGCCCTTCATCCAAGCTTTTCCCAGAAAAAGAAATATTGAGATATTCCTCACTCGAGAGTTACTCCACCCTTTTAGAACCTCGTGTGAGTGAAGAGGGAGAGTTCAGCTTCTCTCTCAGCCCCCAGGCACCACCCTGCCCCTCCAGATCCCCCTGAGCACAGCCAGACCCAGCACCAACCTCTTCTGAGGAGCTCATTTTGCTGCCTGTCAGCCCAGGAACCATGGGGTTCATCAAATGGACACGTTTGGCATAGCCCAGAGATGGGAGATACTGGGAAAACACAGGGACACGAGTCAGGGAAAACCCTCATTCAGCTTGAACTCACAATTCCTGCTTGCTCCTGGCTCCAGGTGACTTTGGGATTTGGGGTAACAGGAGGAGGAAGCGCAGAGTCACAGCCAGGGATGTGTGGCTGCACAGAGAATGAGAGCAGCAGCAGCACAGAGCACTGTGGCACCAACCAAAATCCCACATTTGCTGCTCCTGATGGTCCCAGCCCTCCCTCAGCCCCCAGCCTGGCAGGAATCTGGAATCCTGACCTTCTCTGCGAAGGTGAAGATCTTCCTCTGATCCACCCCTCCAAACTGCGCGTCCACCTTGAGATATTCCTCATCCAGGGCCTGTGGACACAGAAAGAGCCTCAAGGTTGGACCCCAAACAATCCTGGCCTGTCCCTCAGCCTCTCCCAGGCCATTCCCATCCCAGGAATGATGAGAACATTCCAGATTGTTTGYTGGAAYAGCAGCYCYGTGCCCAGGCCACACCACCAGYGTGACATTRGGGTGGAAAACAACGACCTTGACGCTCAGCTCCACAAATCAAACTTTTCCCTGAGCTCTCCCAGTGATGATGGCAGCTCCCTGTGCTTTTCCCAGCTCACCTGCAGGCCTGGGTAGAGCAAACCACTCAGCAGAGGATGCTCCACCTGCTTCACCACCTCCGCCCCTGCCTTTTTGGCATCGTGCTGTGTCACCACGGAGGAGAGCCGGTACACGTCCAGCGTGTACTCCCTGCAGGAAGGGACATGGGGACAGCTTTTAGCACTGCTGCTGGCCTGATTGAGAGGGGACAAAGCCTGGAGGGACAATCTGAGGAGAAGAGCAGATTTGGGATTAGCAGAGCCACAGGTCAGGCTCGCCCAGCACTCACTTGCTGAGTTGGTAATCGGTGCCCCGGACGAATTTGAGTTTTTCCAGGGGCACCCCGATGCTCTCCAGCATGGCTTTGATGACGTGCTCGTAGTAGCGGGTGCGTAGCTCCAGCAGCTCCCAGGGAGCTTTCATGTTGTCCAGGTAAGCGTGGAGGTCAGCAAAGAGGATTGTCACCTAAGGGACAGGGGGACAATCAGTGCCACCCGCCTCAGGGTGCCACCCCCACCAGCCCAGTGGCACCAGCCCACCTCGCAGCCGGCCTTCAGGAAATCTGCAATCTTGGACATGGGTACAAAATAAGCCACGTGGGGCTTGCCCGTGGTGGCCGTGCCCCAGTAGATCCTCAGCTCCCGTTCCTTCAGGATGGCCATGAGTTTGTCCTCGCCCAGCACCTCCTGTGAGGGACAGAAAAGCACGGAGATGTGGCAGGGCTGGGCCTCCCTGGGAACACAGCGGGAAAAGGGGACCCGGGCTTTACGGGCTGTCAGCTCCAGGGTCTGGTTCAGATTCCCCATCCCGGTGTGCCCTGCTGTTCCTGCCCCGTTCCACCCTCTCAGACCCCGGTTCAGATCCCCCATCCCGGTGTGCCCTGCTGTTCCTGCCCCATTCCACCCTCTCAGGCCTCGGTTCAGATCCCCCATCCCGGCCTGCCCTGCTGTTCCTGCCCCGTTCCACCCTCTCAGACCCCGGTTTAAATTGCCCCATCCCGGCCTGTCTTGCTGTTCTTGCCCCGTTCCACCCTCTCAGGCCCCAGTTCTGCCGCATTCCCCTCGATCCAGCCCCGATCCATCCTCAATCAACCCTCCCCCGGTCCCGATTCCCCCGATCCCCG